CCACCCCCCAAAATACACACACACACACACACACACACACACACACACACACAGGCTCCCAGCAGCTCAGGGCTACTACACATAGTAGGTGCTCATGTATCCTGGCCTTCTCTCTCCAGAATATCCCTGCTAACAAAAAAAGCCTCCTTGTGGGATTAGCACAACAACGAGAAACACTGCTTCCCAGCACAGCTCACTCCAATTCTCTCCAGCTGTGTTTTAAAAGTTAGAAATGTCCTCCTGTATCACCCGTGGTTCTAGCAGCTTCACCCAAAACCCTTGTTCTGCCTCCCAGACCCCCACATCCTGGATCCAGGCTGCAGCGTCCGCACCCCTGTCCTTGGACATCTGTCCCCTCAGCAACCCGCGTGTGGCTGTCTCAGTGTGTGCCGTATGTCTGCATTGCCCAGGGCACCCACCGAAGGCATCTGCCCATTGCTCTCTGCACCAGAACCTCTCCTCGTATGTCTCTGTGGGCCTCCTTCTGCCCCTGTGTCTCTTGCCCAGACTGTCTGTCTGCTTGTCCCATCCTGTAAAGGGCGAGGAGACCATCCTGCAGTTCAGCTCGGGGACCTTGACGCTGACCCGGCGGCCAAAACCGCAGCCTGAGCCCCTGAGCTACCCGGTGCTGGAGTGGGAGGACATCACCTTCGAGGACCTCATCGGGGAGGGGAACTTCGGCCAGGTCATCCGAGCCATGATCAAGAAGGACGGGCTCAAAATGAACGCAGCCATCAAGATGCTCAAAGGTCCCCTGCAGTGGCTCCTGAGCCCAGCCTGACCCTCCCCTTTGTCCCACAGACCTCAGGCCCCCCCCCTGGTTCCCTCCAGCGACTGACCCCAGCCCTCACCAGCCCATGCTCTTTTGTCAGAGTTTTATCCTGACACCAATGATACTGGGTTCTTTACACAGAGTACGCCTCTGAAAATGACCATCGTGACTTTGCTGGAGAATTGGAAGTTCTGTGCAAATTGGGACATCACCCCAACATCATCAACCTCTTGGGGGCCTGTGAGAACCGAGGTGAGCCCTCGACTCCACACCTCCCCCTTCTTCTAAGCCCTCATCATCAGCCATCGCCTCCACACATCAGCAGCCTCCTGGGGGCTGCAGGCCACCCAGACGTCACCCTGATTCCCCACCAGGCTTCAGGCTCCTCGTCTGTCACTGTCAGGAGCCTGATTCACCCCAGGTCTCCTGCACCCAAATTACCACTGTGTCTCCTCACCTCCCAGGTTACTTGTATATCGCTATTGAATATGCCCCCTATGGGAACCTGCTAGATTTTCTGCGGAAGAGCCGGGTCCTAGAGACTGACCCGGCTTTCGCCCGAGAGCATGGAACAGCCTCCACCCTCAGCTCCCGGCAGCTGCTGCGTTTTGCCAGTGACGCTGCCAATGGCATGCAGTACCTGAGCGAGAAGCAGGTGTGTGTGAGCAGGGGTGGACGATGGAGGGAGGAGGGCAAGGTCACCAGCAACTTCAGGAGAGGGAACCCGCAGACTGATTGGATGTGGGGACTGAGGAATACTGAGATGGAAGGACAAGAGCCCAGGCGGGGTGAGGGGCGAGTGGGCGAGGCTAGTGCAGCAGCGGGGAGCAGGGACAAGAGGCAGATCTGGAGGGTGTTGTGTTTGCAGTATCAGCGGGAAGTCTGGTGCAGGTGTAGAACCTGGTGGGGGTGGGGGTGGGGGGAGGTTGGACAGAGATGACAGTCTATGAGCTGTTACCCCAGAGATGGTGACTCTAATGGCAAGCGAGTAGGTGAGATCCACCAGAGCAGAAGGGTGGAGGCCCTAACACAGATCTGAGGTCACCTGCCACACCTCCTCGGAGGAAGGAGGGAAGGCATTTTAAAGATGAGAAAGTTGAGTATCTTTAAAAGCAGAGGGAGGGGCTGATGGAAAGAGATCTCTGAGGAAGGTAGAAGGTGGAGCCAGGAGAAACTGGAACTTAGGAGAGGGGGGTCATTTGAGGGCCTTCACTAATGAGGGGAGGAGGAGGGGGTGGGAGAAAATGGGTAGAGCGTGTGGAGGAGGGGAAGGCGCAATGTCAGCTGTCCCAGGAGGAGGGGCACAGCCTCAACTCGGCCATGACCCAGGTCCCAGGAAGGAGGGGTAACAGAAGCACTGGTTTTTCTGACAGGAGTCAGCTGATCCATGACTGAGGTCCAGGCAGGTAGGAAGTGAGTAATTAGCTACTGGAGGCTTCAAGGATGCCCATGAATCCTGAGGGCAGAGCCAGACCCCACCCACCCTGCCACTGGCCTGGGCTCCCTCGTCCCCCAGTCTCCCCTAACCTCTGACCTTGCCTGCAGTTTATCCACAGGGACCTGGCTGCCCGAAACGTGCTGGTTGGAGAAAACCTGGCCTCCAAGATTGCAGACTTTGGCCTTTCTCGGGGGGAGGAAGTTTATGTGAAGAAGACGATGGCAAGTATCATTCAACCCTCCATGCCTGGCGCTCCCCACTAGGTCCTCCAGGCCCTCCACACCTGACCCCTCATATGCATTCTCTCCCAGGGGCGTCTCCCTGTGCGCTGGATGGCCATCGAGTCTCTGAACTACAGTGTCTACACCACCAAGAGCGATGTGTGAGTGCAGGGATGGGAAGGGGCGGGAGGGCCTGCCCCCAAGGGCCACGTGGGCAGAGCCTAGACACAGCCCACAAGTGTCTCGGGTGGTCCACAGCGAGAATGGGTGCCGCTAGGGTGTGTTCTGGGTGTGACACAGGTGTGCCTCAAGCTGACCTCAGCAATGGCCAGCATCTTAGTGGAAGGTGGGCAGCTGGCTAGGAGGAAGTTCCGTCTTGGAAGGTGTTTCAGGGCAGGATGGGGGCAGGGGAAGTTTAGGGCTGTGTGTGTATAAGACAGCTGAGTACCTCAGAGGTTTGCGAATGGGGTGGATAGTTCCCGAGGTAGATAGGGAGACCACTCAAGGGGTGCTCCTACCTTCCCCTGTAAAGGGCAAGGTTGTGCCCACTAGAGGATCTCACCAGAGCATGACCCCCAGACTCCACCTCTGTACTCCCTGCCCGCAGGCAGCCATCTTGGCATCTCCTCCTCTCTCTCCAGGGCTGTCCTTCTCAGTCTGAACTAGACCTGCGTCACTGTCAGCCCTGACTTCTGAGCTGCTCTGCCCCTTACTCCAAGCCCTTTGCCCTGGCCTGCCCAGCTCACCATCCACCCCACTGACCGCCCCTCTGACCACCACATGCTATGTCCTGCTTCTGACCCAGGACTCCCCAGATGTCTTCCCCTCCTCAAACTCCCCGCCTTAGTCTTGGGCCTGACACACAGAGGTTGTTACAGAGCGAGGTGCTGTGAAGACTAGGGGCTTTGGAGCCAGATTCCTGGATTTGTATCCCTGCTCTGCCACTTACTAGCTGTGTGACCTTAGGCAAGCTGTCTAAGCTGTGGCTGCCTCCGTGTCTCCAGCTGTAAAATGGGGATAATAATGGAACCTATGCCGTAGGGTCGGTGTGAGGGTTACATGATCAGTGCCCGGGCAGAGTAAACGTTCAGTAGAATGTTAGCTATGATCGCAGGAGGCTGTGGGGGGAGTTGTGGCGGGGCAGCGGCAACAGGTGGCCAAGGCCAGATACTTGCAGAGCAGACACACGCTGGGTCTGAGAGGGTGCACAGATCAAAGAGCGCCAGGGTCTAGAAGGCAACTCAGCGCCTCCTTCTATTTTCAGCTGGTCCTTCGGGGTCCTCCTCTGGGAGATAGTGAGCCTTGGTGAGTTCCCAGCCCCACTTCCCAGAGTGCCCCGTCCTTTCCCCTATGGGGCCCTGGACTGAGAGAGCCCCGTCCGCTCCTGCAGGAGGTACGCCCTACTGCGGCATGACCTGCGCTGAGCTCTATGAGAAGCTGCCTCAGGGCTACCGGATGGAGCAGCCTCGAAACTGTGACGATGAAGTGTGAGTCACCTCGTTCTTGAGCTCTGTGACCCCTCTCTAGGATTAATGACCTTAACTTGGAGTCCTGCAACCCATCACACTGACTGGCCCTGACCCCCTTCCACAGGTACGAGCTGATGCGTCAGTGCTGGCGGGACCGTCCGTACGAGCGGCCCCCCTTTGCCCAGATTGCCCTGCAGTTAGGCCGCATGCTGGAGGCCAGGAAGGTGAGGAGATGGGTCGGCATGGGGTGGGGGTGTCTGGTGACGAGGGCTGGGGCTCGCCAAGCACAGAAGTACCTTCTCATAGGTGCTAGAGAGCAGTAGCCACCATGTCCCCTACCCCACACTGCCCTCTGGGACCCTCTCAGCTGGCGCTGTTACCACAGCTAGGCTGGGCTCCAGGATGGACTGCCTTTTCCAGCCCTTCCTGAGCTGGGCACTAGGTGCTTCTAAATTCTTTCAAGGTCACTGCTGCCTCAACAGCCAATCCCTCTCCCAAGTCCCAGCTCCCCAACTGCCTACCTGCTCCCCTCTGCCAAAACCATCAGCCCGTTCTCATCTGGGACACCTCTCCGCCCAGCACAGTAGGGCAGAATGCACAGATGGTCACCTAAACATTGGATGGATGAGTAAATTAATGGCACAGTACCCGTATGAACGAATGAGTGGAATTAGTGGATGGATAATGGACAAATACATGATTCAGTCATTGAATCTAAGGACCATGTGAATAAATGATCACATGTAAATGAAGAAATCCATCAAAATGAATAAATACAAAAAGAGTTCTTCATGGTTAAATACTATCTTAAGAATAAAAGAATGATCGGGACCAGCAATGGCGTAATGGTTATATTGCTGGACTCCCACATAGTCAATCGCGGTTTGAGTCCTGGACCCGGTGACTTAAAACTCACATGTATGCATATGTGCCCAAGATCCAGAAAGGAGAATGGAGGAGAGGAGATCGTGGTGTGGCCATTCTCCTGAGGGGTGACTTCTCACTTTCTGTCTCTCTGCTGAGCACACGCACCCCATAGCAAAAAATCTCTAAAAAAAAAAAAAAGAAGAAGAAGAAGAAGAAAACAATGATCAAATAACCATAGAAATGAGTGAGTCATCATAAATAGCCTGTGGGGGAACCAGCAGTTAGCTTAATGGCTATGTCGTGGAACTCCTATGTAGTTCGAGTCCTGGATCCGGTGGCTTAAACTCACGCCAGGCGCATATGCATGCCCAAGATCTGGAGAGGAGAATGGAGGAGAAAGGATTGCAGCATTGCCATAACCCCCGGGGGGTGATTTCTCGCTTTCTGTCTCTTTGTCTCTGTCTTTCTGGAGAGCGCACGCGCCCTATAGCAAAAACCTCTCCAAAAGAAAAGAAAAAAAAAAAAAAGCCTGTGGGGCTGGCCACATAGCCTAGTGGTAAAGGGAACTGGAACTCACGTGGCCAGTCACGGTTTGATGCCTGGCTGCAGCAGCTTGATAAACATGCCGGCCACATGTGTATGTATGCGCAAAATCCCGACAGGATGGAGAAATGGAAGAGAAGGGATTGCAGCATCTCCCTGCCTCATTGGAGATGCTTTCTCCTCTCTCCTTTCCCCCATCTATGCCTGGCAAGTGCACACACCCTCTGGCAATTAAATAAAGAAATATTTTAATAGCCTTATGAATAGAAGAATAAGTAAATGAATGAATGAATGAATGAAAAAGCAAATAATTCATTAGATGTGTGCATACAAAATCCCGATCTACCAGTTGTGTCAAAAGTCTCTCACCTGAACCCCAGCTGCAGACCATCGTAAGTAAATCAGGGTCTGTCCAAAGGCCCCAGCTTCATCGAAGTCAAGGAGCTTGAGGCCCAAGAGGCCCCCTTCCCTGGCCTCCGCTAAGGTCTGTTCTGCTCCTAGGCCTACGTGAACATGTCGCTGTTTGAGAACTTCACTTATGCAGGCATTGACGCCACAGCTGAGGAGGCCTGACTGCCTGCCATCCAGCCAGGACCTGGCTCTGCTGGACGGAGCAAGCCCTGCCCTCCAACCTGTGCTTTCTGACCCTTACATCCTTTGGCCTGAGCTGTCTCAAGGAAGTTTAACTTAAGGGAGGGAGAAAAGAGGGAATCTAGGGAGGGGGTGGGCTTATGGGAATTGGGTTCTCATCCTTTGCCGTCGTTCCCACTGCTTCCTACATCTGCTTCTTTAGCTGTCCTTCACATCTTCCCAGTTCAACTGCACCCCAGATGGGCCCCTACACTCAAACCCCACTTCAGCTCCCCCACCCAAGCCTGCATTCGCATCACTAACGTGCCCTGTTCATTCACTCCCCACTCTCTGCCTTGTAGTCAGAAAAAATAAATGCTCTGAGAAGGTCTATCCAGTGTCTACCTTTTACTGCTGGCAAATTGGGAAGGGGAAAGTTATACCCAAGAGAGAAACTGCATGATCCAGGGAGGGGGAAAAATGCTATCTCAGGACCAGCAGTTGGCATAATGGCTATGTCGCTGGACCCCCATGTAGTCGACCACAGTTCAAGTCCCGAACCCGGTGGCTTAAACTCCCGCAGGGTGCATGTGTATATGTGCCCAGGATCCCGAGAGGAGAATGGAGGAGAAGGGACTGCAGCATGGCCATCCCCCCTGGGGGGTGATTTCTCGCTTTCTGTCTCTCTGTCTCTCTCTGTCTGTCTGATGAGCACACGGGCCCTGTAGCAAAAACCTCTCCAAAAAAAAGTGCTATTCCTAGTTACAGTCTCAGACCCAAGCCCTCTGTTGAGGTTGTCTCTCCGTGATTGGAGATGTTCTGGAAGACCCACATTACACACACACCACCAGCCCCACAACTGTCTTAACCGGAAATCCAGGTTTCCCTGGTCCCCTGCCTGCTCTCCATCCTCCATGACTGGCACGTGCTCCTGCTTCTCTAGGTAGCGACCATCCTAGGCTTTTCTGCTCTGCAGACAGTCCATACCAGGATGGACTGCAGCCCAGGCTCAGTTCAAAGTGGCACTGCAGCACCACACAGAGTCCTGCCCTCAGTGGTTTCTGGTGCTCCTTAAGCTTTTCCTTATTCCTCTAGGTAGTCTTCCTTAGCTTGATAGTTGCCTTGCTGCCCATCACGGGCCTTAACGGAGAAAGGCAGAGGCCGGGAACCAGCAGTTAGCGTAATGGCTATGTCGCTGGACTCCCACGTAGTCGACCGCGGTTCGTGTCCCGGACCCGGTGGCTTAAAAAACTCATGCCAGGTGCGTGTGCATGCGTGCCCAAGATCCCGAGAGGAGAATGGAGGAGAAGGGATTGCGGCGTGACCATCCCCCCGGGGGGTGATTTCTCGCTTTCTGTCTCTATGTCTCTCTCTGTCTGGCGAGCGCACGTGCCCTACAGTGAAAATCTCTCAAAAAAAAAAAAAAAAAAGAAAGGCAGAGGCCACTCCCGACTTCAGCCAACCATGGTAGGATTCCTCTCCCTTCCTCGGGATCTCATAGGGGTCTGGGAGGTGCTCCTCTCCTGGGTTCTTGTTCCCTGCCCTGAAAGTTGGCCCTAAGCTACCCCATGCTGGACGGCCTCAGATCCCAGACCTACCCATGGATTGCTCATGGCTGGTCTCAGATTTCTCTCCCCCTGGTCCTTAGGAAACAAGACTGGTTATATTCTCACACTTTTCAGTGAGTCTGGTTAAATCAAAGAAGACATCAACCTACTGCCAGTTAGACCACATTCAATGACAGTAGTTTTAATCGCATCTCACTGCGGTTAAGAACAGATTCTGGAATCATGCAGCCCTGTGCTCACACAGTTACTATAGCACTGACTGCCTCTCTGCCTACTTTAACCACTTAACCTCTCTGAGCTTCAGTTTTGTTCTCTCTTCTAAAAAGTGGGGTTGTGACCTTGTTGTTATTAGTGTTAAATGAGGTCACACAGGTACACCTGTCACAGCCCTGGGCCTAGCACACAGGAAGAGCCCAGGAAGAACCAGCTGATATCATTACATACATATGCAGGACTTGGGGAGAGGGGTTATATTTGAACAGACCTGCGTGCTTGGACTCTGGGGATGAATTTAAGAGGAAGAAATTAACTGGCACAAACGGGAGACTATGTAGGATAAAGGAGATGAGATCTCCTAGAATTTCAGCTCCACCTTCACTGCAGGGATATTGCCAGGTCCAGGGTGTGGGGATGAAACAGCTGTCCCTGATGGAGGCTGGTATGTAAACCAAGACGCCTCTGTGGGATGACAGACATGCAAGTAAATAATAATAACTACAATATTACATTGCTATGGTTTGATACATTCCTCCCTTCCTAAACTCCTGTGGAAACTTAATCCGCATTTGCTGGGGCCAAATAAGAGGTGATCAGGTCATGAAGGCTCTGCCCTCGGGAACAGATTAGCCCGTTCCCGCATGAATGGATTAAGAGGTTATGGAGAGAATGGGATGTTATAAAAAGTGCCCTCTCTTGCTCTCTGGCACACCCTTGCTTACCAATCTGCCATGCTAGGACACTGTAAGAAGGCCCTCACCAGGTGCTGAGCAGGTGCCAACACCACGCTCTTGGACTTTCCAGCCACCAGTCATGAGCTAAATGAAGCTCTTTTCTTTATAAATCGGCCAGCCTCAGATATTCTGTTATAACAACACAAACGAACTAAGACATGTCTGCTATGACAGAGGGAGGGGACCTGGGAGCACTTGAATAGGAGTTGGTGTCAGGGAAGGTTTTCCAGAAACCTAACCTGGGCCATGAAACTGAATCAGGAGTTCAGAGAAGAGACCTCGCATGGGAAACAGCACCTACACGGTATGTCAGGAACTACAGACAGTCTGTGTAGCTGGAACAAAGCGAGAACATGAGGATATGGGTCCTTATCTTGCTATAGGACACGTGCGCTTACCGGAAAGTCAGAGAGAGATAGAAAGCAATAAGTCAACCCCCGGGGGTGTTGGCCACACTGCAACCCCTTCTCCTCCATTCTCCTCTTGGTATTTGAGGCATGCATACACATGCCCCAGTGTGAGTTTTAAACTGCCAGGTCTGGGACTTGAACTGCACTCAACTATGTGGAAGTCCAGCAATGTAACCATTATGCCATCTGTTAGTCCCATGCATCCTTATCTTAAAAGAAGACAGAAGAGTTGTAAGCATGGGTACGTCATGATCAATTCTGCATTTTTCAAAAATGGCTGGCTGGGAGTGGCTGCAGGAGAAGATGGCGGTCTCAACAGACAAATTATGAAAATAATATACAGCCTGAAAGTAGAATGTGGACCTAAATAACTGAAACTCGGGAGCCAGCAGTTAGCGTAATGGCTATGTTGCTGGGCTCCCACATAGTTGACTGCGGTTCGCATCCTGGACCCGGTGGCTTAAAACTCACACCGGGCGCATGTGCGTGCGTGCCCAAGAACCCGAGAGGAGAATGGAGGAGAAGGGATTGCGGCGTGACCAACCCCCTGGGGGGTGATTTCTCACTTTCTGGCTCTATGTCTCTCTCTGTCTATCTGACGAGCTCACGGACCCTATAGCAAAAACCTCTCAAAAAAAAAAAAAGAATTCAGGTTTTCAAGATGAAAGTATGGTAAGAAATGTCAGATGGCAGTGGTACAAACATGTGTGTTTCTGAAAAGTAAAAAATCTCAAGAGAGAAACACAGAAATGTCATGCCTTATCCAGCTGGCTTAGTGAAAGAGCTGCAGTCAAAATTGTTTAAAGTGGACCAGCAGTTGGCATAATGACTACATTGCAGGACTCTCATGTAGCCAACTGCAGTTCGAGTCCCGGACCCGGTGGCTAAACTCATCCTGGGCGTGTGTGCGTGCATGCCCAGGATCCCAAGAGGAGAATGAAGGAGAAGGGATCGCGACATGGCCATCACCTCTGGGGGATGATTTCTCACTTTCTGTCTCTGTTTGTCTCTCTGGTGAGTGCATATAGCAAAAACCTCTCCCAAAAAAAAAAAAACTCTCTCTCTGGGGTTGGCAGGTGGCATGGTGGTTAAGGGCACTAGACTCCCACATGGCTGACCAGGGTTCGAGTGCTGGACCTTGTAACTTGCTTTCTCACTTTCCCTCTCTCTCTTGCTCTGTCCTTCTCTGGTCAAATTAAAATTAAACAAATAAATAAAGTTAAATAAAATAATTCTTAAAAAAAAAATTCTCTTACCATCTCCCTCCCCTCTCTCTTTCACTCATAAAGGAAGGAAGGAAGGAAGGAAGGGAGGGAGGGGGAAAGGAAACAAGGAAAGTCATTCCGACTGGAAAGGGAGAAGTAGAACTATATTTGCATATAACATGATCATTTACATGGAAAATCCTAAAGAATCCACTAAAAATTATGATAAATGAATTCAACAGAGTTATGGGATACAAGATCAATCTACAAAAAGCAATTTTCTATACAGCTACACTTGCAATGAACAATCTGAATATAAAAATAAGAAAGCAATTTTACTGATAATAGCATTTAAAAGACTAAAGTAGGAATATATTTAAGAAGAGTGTAAAACTTATACTCTGAAAACTGTAGACCATCATTGAGCGAAAGAAGATCTAACTAAATGAGAAAGCATCTCATGTCCATGAATCAGAAGACTTAATACTGATAAGAGGATAATACTTCCCCAGTTAATCTACAGACTTAATGCAATCTCTGTCAGAATTTGTTATGGTTTGGTGACAGTTTGTCTACCAGAATTTCTTGTTTTGGAATTTGGTTTTAGTGAGCAGTGATTGGATATCCCTCAGAAATTCATGCATTAGGACTTGATTGCATTGCTTGAACTGTAGAGGTCTTCTGTGAAAACTTAATTCCTTCATGGTATCCCAGGGTAGGGCCTTTTGGTGAGATAATATCATTAGGGTGGGCCTCCATGATTGCATTCTGGTAAGGTTTACAAGCACAAGGTATTAGACCAGGACAATCAAGAGAAAGCCACCAGGAGACGGCATAATGGTTGTATCACTGGACTCCCATGTAGTCCACCGCAAATCAAGTCCCGGACCCAGCGGCTTAAAACACACTGGGCGTGTGTGCATATATGCCCCAAATCCCAAGAGGAGAATAGAGGATAAGGAATTATGGTGTGGCTATCCCCCCTGGGAGGTAATTTCTCTCTTTCTTTCTCTCTGTCTTTGTCTCTCTATCAAGCACACATGCTCTATAGCAAAATCGCACTTAAAAAAAAAAATTGGGACCAGTAGATGACATCACAGTTACGTCACTGATTCTCCCATAGTCAACTGCAGGTTGAGTCCCGAGTGAGTGCGTGTCCAAAATCTTGAGAGGGGAATGGAGGAGAAGGAACTGTGGCGTGGCTGTCCCCCTTTGCGGGGTGATTCTTGCTTTCTGTCTCTCTGTTTCTCTC